GCTGATACTCTAAGTGGCGGATACTTTGCGCTATTGGGAACTCTGAGCAGTGAACCCAACGGCATACAGATGATGGAAAGATGGCATATGCTCAACATGTTTTATCACATAGTTGAATTAGCGGACCGGAATGACCTCATCCAAACCCTTCTTGGAAACATGGATTTCACACATGAAAGCCATTTAAGAGTAATTCTTTCAAAGGCTCTCACCACAGGATCAAAGGATATCCGTATCTTCTCCACAAAGCTGCTACGAAAATACGTCATTGGCAAAGTGTTGCAAGGATCGCCTGTTGAATGGGTAATCGAACTTCTGGTGACCCAGCTATATGACCCGGATGTCACTGTCTGTCAGGTTGCCGTCAAAATACTGGAAGAAGCATGCAATCAGAGAGATTATCTAGAGTATGTCGTCAAATGCCGTCCATCTTTGGATCATTTAGGCGAAATAGGTGCCCCATTGCTACTCCGTTTCTTATCTACATCGGTCGGGTACCACTATCTTGACGGCCTCGACTATATCACCCAGGAGATGGACGATTGGTTTCTAGGAAGAAACGATGCGTACGTTGGACTAGTAGAGGCCTCGCTGTCTCGCGCGTACATTGACCAACCACGTCGGAACAGCTTAGCGCTAAACGATATAGTTGAGATGCAAGATATTGGCCTTGTGCCACCGCATTTTTACCGAGAACTTGCACGTACAACAGAAGGGTGCAAGCTGCTAGAGCAGTCCGGCCATTTCTACGAATTCGCCTCAACGTTACGGGATTTTCAACTTGACGAAGAAGATGCGGAGGTCTTACTAAAGGTTAAGGGGGCGCTATGGGCGATCGGGAACGTAGGCTCGATGGAGCTCAGTGCACCGTTTTTAGAAGAGACGGATATTGTGGAAAGGATAGTGGAAATAGCGGAAAATGCAGCAGTTATGACCATGCGTGGCACCGCATTCTTTGTCTTGGGGCTAGTATCCAGGAGTCAGCATGGCCTTGAGATGTTAATCGAGGCAGGGTGGGATGCGGCCGTTGACCAAAGAGGGCGTTCATTAGGATCATGCATGCCACTGAACCTAAGCAAGCTATATTCGGTAGGTTATATTCAGCAGCCAAATCTTTTTGATAATCTCAGCTACTAACGTGTTCTAGGTTAAATTCGAGCCATACCAGGCTCGTACCGAGCAAGACAAGGCAGCGAGAAATAGATACAAAGTCGCTTCCAAGGACTCCGATCCGCTCAAGCAAAAGATACTCGGTCTTATTATTGATATGGGGAATACTGTTCTTGCTAAAAAGGCGGCAGCAGATCTACAAGTGTATGTTTACCCATTCTATGCAGCAAGTTCTGGCAGGGTTCTAATATGTTTCACTACGGCAGCCTCAAAACGAATCGTCCTGACTGCTTTCGGCGTATCGATCTTTTTGAAAAGACCCTTGTTATCCTAGAGAGCCATCACTTCCGGTTATCCGCTCGACGTTTCGCACTAGAGTTGTTTGACAAGAGCGTGGTTAGACGAATCATCGTTGGGGACGAGTCCGTCTCCGATTCTGAAATGTCAGAGTAGAGCATCGTATTTTTCCTTCCTCTGCCATTTCTCTTCGTTTGTCTCTTATTTCCTCCATGGTTCAAAGTACCCCCGGCGTGAAGATCTACTGGTGTTTTTGGTGCTATCCGTGATTCATGCATGTACTCTTTTCGCACAGGAGCAGGCTTCGGGGTTTCAATGCAGTTGATGCATATAGTGTATGATATCCTTGAAGAAACCCTTATCGTTTCTCCTACTTTGCTCTCAGACGAACTTCCTTTCGCCCTATGTTTTCTATAGATAGTCAGTACTCCGTAACCCCTCTTGCTATCACCGACATGCAACGAGAGGGCGCTCTCCTTTCATCCCCAACTTTTGGTATCAAACTCAACGCCACAAGATAACGAACTACGCTAAAGTCTGGCGCCAACAACCGGCGCCGACGCCTCCGCGGCGATCGCCAGGCGAGCGGCCATCGGAGCTGGCCGATAACTAGCTGGCAGAGCTCTTACATGCTAAGAATCCTTGCGGCGTCTCGAAATAAGGCCTGTTTTCCGGGCTGCCAATAGAGCAGTGCATGGCTCCCTTTTGCCAAAGTGTCTTGATAGCAGGCAAATATTATTTAGATAGCTATGTAACTAACTACCAAGGGACCTCATAGATGTTTTGTACACGGTAGTTAACGGTTCAACTAACTAGTTAGCTAGTTAGTTCCCTCCTAGCCACCGCTTGACCAGGGGCCTTGCAGAGGCCGGAAGCTCAACGCTCAGCGGAGAGCGGAGCTTGGAGCAGAGCTGCCCCGTTGCCAACGGAACCAGCCGCCATCATTGCCTTGTGCAGGAGCTCCGTGCTGGGTTTCAACCTCAAGCCTGCGAAGGGCGGGCCTTAGTCTTAGCTAGTTATAGGCCAATGCCGCCATCGTCCTGTGCATGGCTCATGTATAAATATAGGGGACCTCCCGTAGTTACCTTGGGGGTCTATGTCTGTAACTTACTAGAAATATATCCAGTTGATATCCTCCCCCTGAAGCCCCAGCTATATTCGCCCACCGTCGCTCAGTCCCAGAATTAGTTATACACGGACATTGTTGAAAGATGGCGTCCAGGTTAACCGCAGCTCGCTATGGCAAGGAGAATGTTCGTGTGTACAAGGTACATCGGGACGAGGCTGCAGGGACTCAGACGGTGGTCGAGATGACCGTCCGCTGCCTGCTCGAGGGTGATATCGATGTCTCGTATGTATCTCACAAGTTCCCAAGTCAAGCGGAGAATGAAGTACGGTGACCTGACGGCGGCATAACTACCAGGTACACCAAGGCAGACAACAGCGTCGTGGTAGCGACGGACTCGATAAAGAATACCATCTATATCCTGGCAAAGCAGAATCCAGTGACGCCGCCGGAGCTCTTTGCTTCAATCGTGGGAGACCATTTCACGCAGAAGTACAGCCATATCCGTGTAGCGCATGTCAATGTAGTGGCACAGCGGTGGTCCCGGATGAATATCAAGGGCAAACCACATCCGCATTCCTTCCTCAAGGATGCCTCGGAGGTCCGGTCTACAGACGTCACCGTTACCAAGGGCAAGGGGATCGATATCAGGACGTCTTTGTCTGGCCTCTCTGTCTTGAAGAGCACCAACTCGCAGTTTCATGGCTTCGTGAGAGACGAGTTCACTACTCTACCTGAAACCTGGGACCGAATCCTTAGCACAGACGTCGATTCGGCATGGACATGGTCAACATTCTCAAACCTGGAGCAAGTGCATGGTTCGGCTGCCAAGTTTGATTCTACCTGGGAAGTCTCGCGCGGCATCATACTGGATATCTTCAGCAGTGACAACAGTGCGAGCGTCCAGAATACCATGTATAAGATGGGAGAGCAGATACTCGCCGCCCAGCCGCTCCTGGAGACAGCCGAGCTCAGCCTGCCCAATAAGCATTATTTCCAGCTTGGTAAGTCGGACACTTTGAATATTTGCCGGTATAGAACAGTTGCTGACTAGCTTGATACAGATCTGGGCTGGCATAAGGGCTTGAAGAACACTGGCAAAGACGCTGAAGTTTACCTGCCTGGCTCTGGCGCCAGTGGCCTCATCAAATGCACAGTTGGACGAGAAGGTGTCAAAGAGAAGTCAAAGCTGTAAAAAAATATCATCCTTTGGAGTACATGCACGTACAATATATATCCAGTAGATGAGAGGTTCTTCGACGTCTATCTCAGATAGATTGTGACTACTATCTTGGTAATAAATCCATGGTGATATCAATCGGTATACTTATGGTACATAAAGTCTAACATCAAAATATCTCCTTGATCCCTGACAAAGGAGAAGGATAGTAGTATAATAATACAAGAAAAAAGGCCCAATAAATGACTCCGTGCGTATGCGCTCGACAAGGGGAAAGAGAAAAGAAGAGGATATCAAACGTGGCTAATGCGAGAGAGCTTCCGTTTTCGCATTCTGTAGTGCCTCACGCACTTCAGGCATGTCTGTAATAGAGGTATTTTGTCCGTTGAGTTTGACAATATTTTCTTTATACGGGTGCTCAAGTCCTTCGAAAGCTATTTCGACAATTAAGAGTTAGCAGAGTTCGTAGATAAGCAACACCACGAGCAGTTAATGTGCAAGTAAAGAACGGTACCTACCCTTCAACCGAGCCATTCTCTTCTCTCGTAGTCTGTTTTTTGGCAGCATTCCTTTGACAGCCTTTCTCAGGACCTCGGCGCCTCCCCATTTTTCAATCATCTGGTCCATAGACATCGACTTCAAACTTCCCGGTCTGGTGTTGTGTGTATAATACAGCTTTTGAGCTCTCTTCTTTCCCGTAGTACGAAGATTGCGGCATCCGAGAGCAACGACATAATCACCACAGTCTGTAGATGGATCGTAGATCGGTTTATGTTTCCCCATCAGGAACATCGCGATGGACGAGGCCACCCGGCCCAGACTTCGGGGGTCAGATCCGATATCGATGGCATGCCATGTTCGAGAATAGGCCAAACGCGTCTTCACAGTAACCAGTTAGCATGATATATACACCCATTGCAGCTTCAATTGATCCGAGTTTGGGATCGCAAGGCGTACTTTTCCAATCGTTTGAGACATGGCTACCAGCACACTTTATGGCCCGGTAAAAAGCAGACTTCTCACTCCCGACGAATAACAGCCAGCCTAACAGTGTTATCCAAGCCAGTAAATATCCTCTGTTATCACTCCTCGTCGCCGAATGTGTCGCTGTTCCTCGTGAACCTGCGCCGTCGCGGACTTCTTCTCCCCAGCGAAGCTTCTGCTTCAACCAAAAAGTTCTTATATCACGTGACTCTACCCTAAATCCCCACTAAGCGAACTCCCACACCTTGAAACTTTCAATATCGATAATTTTCAACTCACAGCGATCGCGACGGTGAACGAGCAGACAACTTTTCGCTTTTTTCCACCGTATCCCGCACGTCGAACGCTGCCATAACATTCATCATGGCCAGTACTCCCAGCGTGCAATGCTTCGGCAAGAAGAAGACGGGTATGTACTTTTTTTTTTTTCGAAGCCAGTCTACTGAAGGAAAAAATATCGAAGAAATGTGAATGCTGATAATTATTCGCACGATATAGCCACCGCTGTCGCCCACTGCAAGGTACGAATTAGACGTTGGCGGACAATACTGAAAGACGATTTCCGGACATATCACTAATTTTTCGACACAGCAAGGCAAGGGTCTCATCAAGGTCAACGGCCAGCCGCTCGCGCTCGTTAAGCCAGAGCTCCTCAAGTTCAAGGTACGGACACATCTACGTATGGGAATTCTACGAAATGGAGCTAGAGGGGAAGATCACCTTGCATCAAAATGAATACGGAGGGACGAAAAATCACAATTAAGAGAGATGGAATTCGCAATGAAGATAGATACCAAGGAATGCGGCAGGATTTGAATATCGGATTTTCTAACATGGTCCAACACAGGTCTACGAACCCATCCTCATCGTCGGCCTTGACAAATTCGCCGGTGTCGACATCCGTGTCCGCGTCACCGGTGGTGGTCACACTTCCCAGATCTATGCTATCAGACAAGCCATCGCCAAGTCGATAGTCGCCTACTACCAGAAATTTGTTGATGAACACTCCAAGAACCAGCTCAAACAGGCCCTTGTTCAGTACGACCGAACCCTCCTCGTTGCCGATAACAGACGTTGCGAGCCAAAGGTCTTCGGTGGTCCCGGTGCCCGTGCCAGATACCAGAAATCTTACCGTTAAACGGAATGGAAATGGACGGGTTTGTGGGGACGGGGTGTTTTTTTTGGGCGCAGTATTTGTGGGATTTTTATATCTGCTTGTATCTGCCCCATAATGGTTGATGTTAAAAAATGTGCTCCAGCATACGGGAAATGTCTGGGACATAGAATAAATAGGCCAGATTATTGCCCTAAAATATTAAATCCTACTTTCTCACTTGTTCAAGGATATCCCATTTGCATACCAGAGGATATACGGGAATCATGGAAAATTTGGGTTGATTGATAAGTATAGGGCCTTTTTACCTCATTTTGTGAAGCTACATGCGTTGGTCCAACATATCAATATCCTCGACATCCTCGACTTCATCAGCTTCAAGCTCTCCGGCTTCTTCGAGGTCAACAATTACCGGAGCATAATCACCCGTTTCATCCTCTTCTTCAGCCCCGTTGACCTCCAGCTCAACTTGCTCTCCGTCTTCCAATTCGACCATACCCCTTCGCACGGTTGACTCCTTTGCCAGCTCCCACCCGTATTCTTCGTTTGCCCATTTCTCCAGTTTGATAAATTCTGCCTTAACTGCCGATATATCGGCAGTCAAATCATCGTATATTATCCTCCTAAACTTCATCAAGATCTTTTTCACAACGGTATTACCATCGTCTCCATCCATTTCCAACAGACCTCCCTCGACATCGTCATTATGCGCTAGCTGTAGCTTCAGGAGACGTAGGACTTCTATAAAGAAGCGTTGCCTTTCCTCCACGGCCTTTTGACACGTAAATATCAGCTGTAATAATCTCATCCATTGCTCCTGGCAGGAGAAATTTATCAATGTCAATGCAGTGAGAAATGTAATCTGCATTTCACCTAGAATCTGCATTTCTCCCTCACTCAGGCTGTCCTCACTAATAATTCTTCCTGTGGCTCTGCTATTGTTTGTAGCCCATTCGCATATATTCCCCAGTGCCCATGAGCGATCCCGAGCTGCTTCTGTTCGATCACGTCCCACAGCCCCAGGTGGCCAAGTATTCTTCAAATCAACCGGCAAGAATCGTAGCTCCTTTTCATCTTCTACCAATTTACCGCGCATTTCGGTATCTCCCCGACTAGCGAGACCGGGTATCTTGTCACTATCTCTCGCAGCCGAGCTTCCGGAAGAAATAGTCCACCTTGGTCTACCTTCAGAATCCAGCTCTGCGCGACCCAGTATTCGCTCTAACACGGACGGAGTTATATAGCCTGAAAGGCCATTCCATTCGCCATGTGCAAGTGTGGTATCAGTGGTTTCTTCCTGGTCGTCCTTCTTGTGCGTTCGAGATTTATATGACAGTAGCCCACCAGCAGCCCATATTCGACTGAGATTAGCTCGCTGCTGCATTGCGTGTTGCCTCCCTTCATCATTACTTTCGTCTACCAAGGCCAGTAACTCTGTGGAGTTGTCCCAATGCCTTAGCCGAACATCGACACCTGAGCCAGTCTGCTCACCCTCATTAGGATCCGGGACAGTAAACCATTCTCCGCTTCGCAATGAGAAGCTATCAGTTGTGCCCGTGTAAAGTATGTGTACTCCAGGCGGGAGTTCTTTTATGCCATGGAAATTTGGAGCTGATGTGAAAGCCAAGAGGTCGACTCCTACCAGCGTTTTGGCGGGGAGGTTATCGATCAGTATCGTAGGCGAGGGATGAAGAGACTCGGACATGAGATGCGGGTATACAATGCGACCTTAAAACGCGAAAGGTTGATATAAGTATATAGATCCTGAAGATCACGGAGTGGTAGGTGTAGGTTCTTAGAAAATGTTTGCGACGAGAGTTTCTACCCGCTCGATATATTCCTGCTATGGAGACACCCAACTAGTCAAATATTCAAACCGATGAGAAAGCACAATTTTTTACAAGTCCAATGATCAATCTACAATCTACAGTCCGAAGTATTGTTTGAAGCTGCTCAATCTTCACTTGCATTTTATAGATATATTTTGCAATATCGCTAGAATCTGCAAACGCTAGAAGAGCAGGGTTGAAAAAGGGGAAATTTTTAGAAGACCAGGCGATAAAGGCCGTTCTTCGCGTTTATTCCATCCACAGAACAAAAGAGAGATACCGTGAGATATTCTCCAGTTGTTTCCATCCTTTTTGTTCCCAATCGCCATTGATACCAACCGTAGAGATCGGATAACCAGGAGATAAAAGGCTGTAAATATTTACAAACGACGACCTCTGCGACCACCCTTGCGACGAGTAGAGTCGGATGGGGTAGGGGTGACGTCCTCGATACGGCCAATTCTCATACCGGAACGGGCGAGAGCACGGAGGGCAGACTGAGCACCGGGGCCGGGGGTCTTGGTTCCGTTACCTGTAAATAAAGTAAGAATCTGCACATCCGCTTGCCAGGACTGTGTTGATATATTGCTATACGTACCACCGGTAGCACGGATCTTGATGTGGAGGGCGTTGATTCCAAGCTCCTTGCAGCGGGCAGCGACATCCTGAGCAGCCAACATAGCAGCGTAAGGAGAGGATTCGTCACGGTCAGCCTTGACCTTCATTCCACCAGTAACACGGCAAATGGTTTCGCGACCACTGTATATAGAATTATCAGCTCCTTATCTCTTATCAGATTTGACCCCAGATTGCGATATTTAAGACGCATCCGACACAGCACTCAAGTTGCAAAGATTGGTTCAAGTGATATACGGACCTGAGATCGGTAACGTGGACGAAGGTATCGTTGAAGGAGGCGAAGATACGGGCAACGCCGAAAACGTTCTCGCCTGGGTAGCGACATAGTTAGCAACCAATTCTTGACAAGTGCTGCAAGTATGCTGAGATGGGCTATCCTACCATCACCGGTGAGAGGTCCAAGGGACACGTTCTCGTTGGCGGGCTTAGCGTCGGTCTTCTTCTTTGGGGCCATTGTGAATGATGCAATGGTTCGAGGATGTTGTGGATGGAGCAAAAAAAGAAGAAGAAGAAGAAGAAGAAGAAGATCAGAAAAGAACGACCAAATCTCAAAAAAGCATCAAGAAACATACAAATTAGGGCTTGAGTGGGTGTGCCCTAGTCACATGATTGGAAACTCAGTGACTCATCATACTTGGCTTATGTAATAAAGTAAAATCAAAAACTGCCCAAACGTTTTTTCCCTTCTGTGTTTTTTTTCCTTCCTTTTCTCAACAGCAGCTTCAAGTTGGATCGAGAGGAAGTAAAGCGTTGAGCTTCCTTCGCGGGGGAAGAGGGTTGATAAATAGCAGACTTGGCCTGCTGATTGTCAAGTCAGAAAGAGCTATCGCGGATACCTTGATATTAATTGCCAGAGACTACCACAAAGCAGGCCTTTTATAATGGCGGGTGCCAGCAGAGACAACAGGTCCATTGGGATCATTGGAATGGGTGACATGGGCAGGATGTATGCCCAGCGTCTGAGTGAAGCTGGCTGGAGGTAAATCTCAATCATTCTGGGCTTGCTCTTGTCATTCTTCAATTGGTAAGATTCTCCTGTCCTTTCTTTTCCAGTCCACGATACACCCACTCTTCTGATGACATGAGCGCATTTGGCTCGAGCATGGTAATGTAACCCTCCTACCACTATTCTTGTGGCTGGAATCGGTTCGTTGCCGTCACTGATGTAAACACCCTGCTACCTTACAATTATTTTGTCTGAAAACGTTTCCCTACCCATTCCCTCACCAACGTCAATATCTCTCTATATTGGATATGTACTAATTGGTGAGACAGATCTTAGAATTACTAGCTATATTATACCACCCGCTAATATACCTGCGTGACATAGAATTAACGCTTGTGATAAGCCGACCAGCTATGAAAAACTGAGAAAGGAGTTTGCAAATGATGTACGTCAGCTGCTGCTCCCATCCAAGTTTAACCCATTTTGCTCCTCTATATATTCTTAGTTTTTAATCTATTATATTTTTCTATACCCCCCGTAGACCAATATCAATATACTTCCCAATGGGCACCTCGTTTCCCGAATAAGCGACTACATTATCTACAGCGTAGAGGCGAAGTTCATTGCATCTGTTGTTGAAGAATATGGACCGTGTATGTCCTCTCCCAAAATAAGAGTTACCTCCTTTTTCAGGAAATATCTGACCAGTATTTGAATTAAAGCGACGAAGGTTGGAGCGATTGTAGGAGGCCAGACCTCCTGCAAGGCCCCTGAGCTTGAAGCCTTTGAGAAGTATCTCCCCAGTGACGTCGAGATATTATCGTGCCACTCACTCCACGGACCAAATGTCAACCCCAAGGGTCAACCGTTGGTAAATCTGACTCAACTCCGGTGGTCCTGCCGGGTGCCTAGCTAATGCATAATCGCTAGGTCTTGATTCAACATAGAGCATCAAACGAAAGCTTGAAGTTCGTTGAAGAGATCTTCAGGTCCTTCCAATCCACATACGTCTATCTCAGTGGAGAAATGCATGATCGGATTACCGCAGATACCCAAGCAGTCACGCACGCTGCGTTTCTAAGCATGGGAACAGCATGGCATGCAAACAGCCAATTCCCATGGGAAGTTCCCCGTTATGTTGGAGGGATCGAGAACGTTAAAATCAACATCACACTGAGAATATATGCAAACAAATGGCATGTGTATGCTGGTCTTGCCATTCTCAACCCTGCTGCCAAAAAGCAGATCAGACAGTATGCGGAATCAGTAACGGAGCTGTATAAGCTGATGTTGGGTGGACATCGGGAAGAGTTGACAAAGAGAATCAAGACTGCTAGAGCTGCTGTGTTTAAGAGCAATTCAGCAAGGCAAGATCTATTGCTCCAAGACAACGTCCTTGATAGATTTTCTCTATCAAAAGGAGGCACAGAGAGGATGCCGAATAATCACCTAAGCCTACTTGCCATCGTCGATTGCTGGTGGAAACTAGGGATAGTCCCTTATGACCATATGATTTGCTCAACTCCTGTTAGTCTGATCCCTTGGCTCTCTTTTGATATAATTTTACTGAAGTTGAGAACAACAGCTCTTCCGTCTCTGGCTAGGAGTTACAGAGTACTTGTTTCAGAACGAAGAACTTCTGGACGAAGTGATTGACACCGCTATAGAGGACAACACATTCCGCTCTGATGACCTTGAATTTACCTTTGCAGCTCGAGTCAGTTAATACAGTCCTCCCTCTTGGCCCGCTGTAACTTTGTAGCCTTGAAAGGGCAATAGATAGCTAACGAGACTTTTTCCCACAGGCATGGTCAGAATGCGTATCCTTTGGAGACTTTGAGTCGTACCGTGACAGGTTTGAGAAGATACAGTCTTACTTTGCTCCAAGATTCCCTGAAGCGGTCCGCGTTGGTAATGAGATGATGAAAACCATCTTGGAAAAGACGTCAAAGCCATCTTGAGCCGCGACTGTGTTTGAAGACAAAGATAACGGGATCCACAGATGGGGAATGGCGCAGTGATGTGCAAACGCAGCTTTTTCCTACCGACTCCTTGGCCATGGCTGAATGATGCGCAGCTATAGCCAAGCGCCGTGGCAATTCTCTTCTCCAGCCCAGGTATAGAAGGTTCGCTGGGCACGGGGAATCCATGTCTCAATCTTCGTGTGCTGTCAGAAATGTCTGGCCACCTCGACTCTCGTCGCTTGGCCTAACGTTTCTTTTCCCGCAAGGCATAGCATCATAGAATCCTAGAAGTGCAATCTGCTCTTGACATAGCCCTCTTTGGTTTGGCGCTTGCGGAGTTCTTTTCCATTGTGTTTGACATCTCTTTTTGCAGATAGTAATAACAACTGGGTATGGGCCAATTTGGATATCGCCTTGGGTTACCCGACTCCTCACCGGTAGCAAACTCCAAGAATGATTCCTCACCATCGCCCGAACTGTCGGCTGACACTGCATGCAGCATTTGAATAGATCTCGTTATTGACACATACACCATACATCTCTGCAATTTAGCCTGGCCTGTAGGGTGGTATTCTCGTCAGCATGACAAATCCGGGTGCAAACTTGGCTTTGACATGCTACATGCATCTTCTCTGCGATCAATTTTTCCCCCTTGCTTGCTTTGAACGCTTGTTGAAGCCTAGTATTCTTGGTATGACTGTTGGCAGCGCATAGTTCAATGCCATAGTCCAAGAAAGGATCAGCGGGCACTCCGTCAGCGAATATCGAGGAGGCTGTGTTACCAGCTGGCGGATCCCGGGGGAACAGCGCAAGTCCCCAGCTGCTTATTTCTGCTTCTTCCTCTGCTTTTGCGTTTCTTTTTTGTCTTCTTGATGCTGCCACCAGTCGGCATGCTGAACTAACTATTTATTATTAGTCGAGCCCAGAACGACATGCATGGTTACCAATGAAGTGGCCTGTCCTTGTATCACTCAGGTTGATTCCTCATAGCCCCGAACTTTGCGACTCGGAGCTCAACACCCAAATGGAGCAAAGAGGAAGAGGAGGATGAAGGAGCATGCGAAGGCGTTACTCCAGGTTTCGGTCATGACCAAGATGTTCGGTCTTTGACTGCGCGGCTCGCTCAAAAGACGGACGAACGCTGGGCGTTTTGCGAAACTTCATTCCTGTCTGCATGTCGGTCGAGAGCGAACCGTGGACAAGAATCGATCAAAAGTCACCTCCAGGTCACCATTAATTAACCAGGTTGGCTGGCCAAGGGGACTATCACACTAGACTGACGACTGCGGGCGGTTAGAACGACCCCCTGGATCCCTGAAGAACGCCTTCGGGACTTCAAATGCAAACGGCTCGTGTTTCATTGCAAGGGGCGAACCGAATCTCTGATCCCGCGCATCCACACACACTCAGCTCCAAGGCCAGCAGTCAGCAAATCAGACGTGCTCACCTTCAATCTCAAGGACTGGTTATTTACTTGTTAACGAAGCTACTGAATAATATTGGCTTATGTATCTGAGCCGCCGACTCTTTCCATGTTCCCTGTTGGAGAAAAAGAAGCGCCGCGATTGATATTCAAGAAACCCATGCAAAGAACACACGCGTCTCATGCAATCTGCTACGAGAAAGGGATCTGCTAACCGAACCCGTCAGGAGCACTCAGTTGATACGGAGGGTACGAAGATCACAGAAGAATATAAGTGCGCAAATGTTTGAACACACAAGAGGCCTATCATGCCTCCTCGCTATAGAGAGAGGCGGATCATGTACGTTCGCTAGCAAGCACCAACTTCGGGACGCAGTCTTTTCGGGAACACGGTTTCTCGAGTTAGCCCTTGGGTAGCGCAGGGGTTTCTTGACCAAGCCGTCGTATCTTCTCCAGTCTGACCAAACGACGGGTGGTCATTGGTTTGAGCGTCTCGTTGGCCGGTTTGACGGACTGTGGGGAGAGACGGGTCGATGGAGCACGCTACAACGACAAGATACATGATAAGACGATCTAAAGCTGATCAAACAACCAGCAAGCCACGCATTGATGAGGGATGTACTTAAGTATACCAGGTGTACTCTGGCCGTCCCGAAAGCCATGAAGGGCCGCAAGAGTCGCAGCTCTCAGAGAGATGAGGCTGCGCCCTGGGACTTGCGTATACTTCGCTAGTTACGGAGTAGTTACATGGCTGTCCTTCGGCCGTCCAGTCGATCCAGGCTGGCAGTGCAACGATGGCAGCCAGTCTCTTGGGATGGGATGACGGACGCCCCTGACTCGGCCCACGACAGTCGGCAGGCTGACTCCCTTGAGAAGCCGCTGCAGTAATTGGATGTGACCGACGGATGTACAGGCGCCTTCAAGGGTGTCACTGAGTTTCCCTTGCTTTTTTGCAGAACTTAACCCTGTTAGCTTGTGTATAGACCTTCTTTATCCGAGCTGAGGGCTAAGTTTGTCGTGGGCCGGTCCCCTGTTACGAGTTTCAAGGTCGGAGAGTATTAGCTAGACCATTAGTTGGCAAATATAAGAACTATATATATATCTCGGGATGGTCCTGTCTCCTGGCTAGGGCTTCTACAAGCAGCTGCTGATGCGCTGATATTTTCAAGCTTGGTTTGAAAAAGAGACGACCATATATAACTACCGCGATGAAGTTCCAGTCCCTTCTTGCAGGGGCAGCCTGCCTGCTGCCAGCCGGTAAGTCCAGCGAGGCTGGTGCATTACATGTACTGCATAAGTCACCAGTGACCTATTTACTGACGCTGTGGACAGTGTCCCTGGTGGACGCCGCAAAGACTGCCCAATTCAGACCCCCGAACGGAGGAGACGTTAGATTCCGGGTGAATATACCCACATCCACGGCCGCGACGAAGAAAGGACCGATCTACTTCCAGATCCGAGCACCGAGCAGCGTAGAATGGGTTGGACTAGGCCAGGGCAGCGAGATGGCCGGCTCAAACATCTTCATGATGTACTCGGCGGCCACTCCCAGCAACGTCACGCTCTCTGCCCGAGCAGGACTGGGAGAGTTCATGCCGGAACATAACTCCCGGACACAGGTCACCCTTCTCAATGGCAGTGGTATCACCGAGGGACGTATGGTGGCCAATGTTCGCTGCGACAACTGTTTGAAGTGGGAAGGGGGAAGCATGGATCCAACAGACGCAGCTAGTTCGTGGATCTGGGCCGTCAAACTGGGTGCATCTATCAAGTCGAATGATGTTGCAAAGAGTCTGATGATACATGACAACATGGGAGCGTTCAAATTGGACTTGACCCAGGCCGTGGGAGATGACAAGGACGGCAACCCGTTTGGCTCTGATAACGCGAATACCCCTGACTCTGGCTCGGCCGGTACAGTGGTGTCTGATGGAGGACGCATTGCGAGACGGTCTGCCCATGGACTGATCATGTCGATTCTCTTCCTGCTCATGTTCCCGTCTTTTGCTCTAACTCTGCATCTTGTTCCCAGCAAGAACACCGTTACCCACATCCACGCTCCTCTCCAGATAGTCTCGCTCATTGCTGCGGTTGTTGAGTTCTCCCTTGGAATCAGCTTGGCCAGAGACCTGAACAAGATCAACTCCACCCACGCCGTCATTGGCATCATCATCATGACCTGGGTCATTCTCCTGCAGCCGGCGCTAGGACTGCTTCAGCACCTTCATTTCAAGAAGACTGGCACTCGCGCTGTTCACGGCATACTGCACGCCTGGCTGGGACGATGCGTGTTTATCCTTGCTGTCATCAACGGTGGACTAGGATTGAAGCTCAGTGGAATCGGAAACCCTGGTGTTCCTCGAGCCGGTGTCATTGCATACTGCATCATAGCAGCTATAATGGCGGCTGTTTACATCTCAGTCGTCCTGTTTATGTCCAAGAAGCCCAAGCCCGCAGCCAACACCATCGGAACCAATCAGCAGGTGAAGGGGAGTGCAGTCGAGCTTGTCGATAGGTACTGAAAGAGCTGAACAGTGACCATATTTGGTTGATGACAGTTTTCACCCCCGGAGTTGGGAGGTCCCTTTTTATGCATGCCGTGGCTATAGGAGCGAGAAAGGCTGAAGTCACACAGACAGCGAGAATGCGGGCCGTGATAAGTTGAAGGCGACGTCTTCACAGCTCCCGGCCTCACACTTCACTTAGTCAGAGCTGTCTGAGTTGAGGACGAGTATATATGGGTATACATGTGCATATGTAATGCCTTATGGATGGAAGATTGTCCCGAAAACAGAAGCAGGATTGAAGTCTCAATTACCATTTGATACCCCCTCCCTTTGCCCCTATTTAGGGATTCAGGCCGAGTTTCTTTCACACTTGAATTTTTTTGGCTGGAAGCTAGATAGCTTTACTAGTTATCTGTCTGCTGTCTATGAGCTCATATTCCCGGCTCAATGGCAGCATTCAGACCTGAGCAACGATGTAACTCTAGTAGTTATCAATCCAATTAATGAGCCTCTTGGTTAACTATCACAGAATGTTATCCTCCCTTTCGTGCCTTCTTCCGCAGAGCCCCATCAGCGGGTCAACTGTTCACTGGTTGCATTATAAGTTGCCTCTCCAGTAACTATTTAAGCCCGAGCAGGGAACCTCTGCCCCGTTCGTCTCCTGGAGAAGGGGCTGGAATATTGGGCAGAAACCCTGCCGTTATCATCGCAGCGAGTTTTGGCTGTCGGCCCAGGGGAAGCGAAACGGCGGCCATGACGTCAACATCGAGCAACCGAAGCGTTGACCAAGAGTGACTAGTGTAGTTAGTGATTAGGAATATATTTCTCGAGTTGGTTACCGTGGATTGGGATGGTCTTGTTTGCGCCAGGAACCAAGGGTCCTGACTCCTGACTGTGGTTCAGCAGCGGGATGTAAAGGATAAAAACGAAGTGCCCTGAGATGCATAACAACTAACTATATAAACACTGTAACCTAGTTGTCAGTCAGAAGGCGTCTCTTAAGCAGCTAACCATCAATGTTATCAGCAAGGGGCCGTCTTGTCCCTGCAGACAGGCCATCTATCAAACGACTGACTGGAGCCGCCACTCGCCAGCTGTTACAAAACGGCACCTGCAGAAGGGCCTCCACCTGGTTATTGCCATCTAACGAAACAGTTAATCTGTTACGTGTTAGTTGCTATACACCACTGTAGGTTTTAGGACCGTGTGGATAGCTAAGGGGGGCCGCCGTGTAGCAGGACGGATGGTAGGCTCATCGGCTGGCTGCTCTCTCGCAGAACGCCCGTACATTAGTTATAGATAACCACGGAGTACTTGCTAACTATCCAGCAGTGTATATAAAGCCACTGATCTGTCTGCTCGTGCATCTAAACATCGCGGATAAGCTTCTTCATCTCGTATCAGGGGCATCCCTAGTCCTTCTCCAGCTAAACTTCTCCGTACCTAGCTAGCCAACTAACTAGTTAAATAACTAGTTAGTTAAATGCAGGGCGAGAGCTTTCCCCAGACTTGCTTGACCGGCATCAACTTCGTCTTCCCGCCCACCAGCACAGCAACCCAGCAAGTAAGTCTTCCACCCTGCATGCTGCCGGCAACAAAATGGCATATGACATCCCCATGCACCGGCCGGGATTCTCCAGCAGTTTAGTTCACGCAACGCCGGCCCCCTGGTGGCTTGTTGGCTGTTGGCGCCCGCCCTAGCGCCCACCGCAGAGGGAGAGCTCTTTGCCCTCGTGTTATCTTGCTCTCTCTCTCTCTCTCTCCCCATTCTCATCATTTTCCCCCTTGCAGATAAGACCGACTGACACCCCCCTCGTCAACAGGCAGCGAGAGAGAGACAGTGACCATGGCATCTTATGTGACAATTGAGAAGCAGTACTTCCAGACCTTGCTGAGACGGTATGTCCCCTGGTTCTTAATGTGTTTACTTGCGGGTGTTGGATATCCGACGTTACCAGATCCCACGTCTGCTGCTTTCTTTTTTATCCTGTTTGACTCCCCCAGGGTCGCACGGCTGACTCGTATCTCTTGTTCCCGCATGGTAGGGCCGATTGTGTGCGTATCACCCTGCTCTCTCGGTTAATTAAATGAAGCTTTGACTATAACTACCTCCCTGGCCTCTGAAACTGACAAGTTGACCCGACGTCACCTGCTGGCAGAATGCTTCGTCCTCCGGCTTCGATACGCCTGCTGATATTCACACGGTGACAATACTGAAATCTGATCATGATGATATGGTTCGTGGGCTCCTGGATGGATGTGACATGGATAGCTTGTTGCTGATGCCAAGTGGGACAATTCCATTATAGATCCGCAGATGTCGTGAATATGGTATGTCTAGTCCCACAGGCTAGGGTCAAAAGGCAGAGAAGGATACTCATGGATTCGTGGTATAGAGAATCTGAAACGGGCTCTTTTTCAAGGCGGCGTGGAGCAGTCGTCTATAGAAGTGAGCCAGACCATATGTCTTGGGAACTATACACGCTGACACCTCGGAATAGACACTCATCAAAGATCCTGCTGGCTCTCAGGGAGAGTCCATCACTGCCAATGGGGCCCACTACTACAGGGGAAACACTCAAGTAACCCAGCAGCCAACATCGCTAACAGGTTCACCTGAGCTGGCCTATAAGTACGCAGGACCACCAGCCTCTAGATCAGGCTCCGGGACTCATCAAACAACCTACAGTGAGAGACCAGCAAAGACTCATACTGAATCATCGACGAACCATTACTATCATAACGATGAGGACTCGCTCTCCAGTGATGACAGGTCGGAGATACCTATCCATGGAGAAACCCCCGGCATATCGCATGATTCTCCAAAACAATCGGTAAACGGAAGCGAGAATCGAACCGTGGCTATCAAAAATGTCCCTGACAGAGCTACTCACAGAGACATCACCGCAGCTGTACGAGGAGGTGCTCTGGTGGACGTCTTCCTCCGATCTAGGGACCACATGGCTAGTGTCTCTTTTGCAGATACCAAGGCGGCACAGGACTTTTATAACTATGCCAAACGATGCAATCTATGCATCCTCGATAGACCGGTAAGTTTTGACTCCTTGACCGACCGCTCAAGCTACATTATCTGACGGCTTCCAGGTTGATGTATCCTGGGCTGAGCGCCAGTACTCACTGTCATCATATCTTGCATCTCAAATGACCAACGGAGCCTCCCGCAACCTCATCATTCGCGGAGTGCATCCAAACGTCACCGAGGCCATGATCCGCGAGGACATGAAGCATATTCATAACCTCATCATCGTCAGCCTCTCATTCAACCACGGAAACGTCTATATTTCCACCAACTCCGTTCAAAAGGCCACTTTCGCCCATAACTGCATGATGTCTCGCATGCCATACCGTATCATGAGGATCGAATACTACCATGACGAATGTGCCGATCCTCTTCCCAGAATCAAAGAAGTTCACACCAGGGGCCCATCACGCCCAACAGCTAAACCATTGAACCCCATGGCCAATCGATTCCAGATGCTCCATCTCGACGACTCTGAAGAGGAATCAGATAACCAGGACGAAATGGAAAGCAATGGGCCTCTGGGAGATAAAATCAGCTGGCGAAACAACACCATTGCCGTCTAGCAGTCAGGACGAGGGTATCAAATATTTGCACGCTCCTTGCCCATTTTATCTCTATTTCATTCTCAGCCCACACAAAAGCTTGTAGCATTCATCCAACAATTCTCCATTTTATCTTTTCTTTGATACCCTGTATGTTTTCTTACTTTACCCCGGCATTTAGCATATCTGCTGTGATTTTCATGTCTGGCATTCTGCTTCATCAATATTTTCTTTTTTTTCTATCTATCTCGGCTCTCTGCCTCAGAACAAATTGCACAATGTACGGACTAGGCATATCTGCATACTTCTCTCCAGGCTCATCTTATCTTTCTCCTCGACGCTTAGTACTTTCCTCCATACTCAATCGTATCCCTTTAATAACATCTAATTTATGCGCGCGAAAACCCAATCACGTGACTCTCCCGCACTAAGATAAGCAGAAAAAAAGATAAAAAAAAAAGAAGCGAAAAAAAACCGAACAAAGTCGAACAAAACGCAGAAATTGAACGAGACGACGACGTCGGCCCGAAAGCAGACTCAGATACAGCTTGCTCATTAGCAGGGAGACATCTGTTCAACAGATAAATACAGTACTATCACCCCCAGTCTTGCTAAAACTGGGTTGCGGTCAAACTCAGCGCACACAAAACACGCACGCACACAACGGGAACCAACGAGCACACAATGGCGCAAGACAACCGCGGGCGCCTGCCACCGAATCTCCAGGATGAGTCTGACGTCGAAGAGGAGGCTCTCGTTAATGACTACCGGGAGCAGGTACATTTTGACGATGGCATGAGTGAACTGGACCGAACGACCTCCCTAGGCGCAACATCACAAACACAAGACTTGCAGGCCCAGCTAGCTGCTGCTGCCACCCCACTGGAATACCAGGCTACGTTGGAGACGAAGTTTGCAAGCTACGATAACTACTGTAGCTTGTTCCATTATATCCTGAACTCGGATGGCCCTGTCGATTTGGAAGTTCCATCGGTATGTAGTTGATTTACTTAGGATATGAACATTGAAGCTTTTGACAGTTTGGTCTGACATTGTATGGATAATATAGTACTTCTGGGCCTGGGACGTCATTGATGAATTCATCTACCAATTCGAATCCTTCTGCAGATACCGAAACCGAGTGGCTCGCACTGGATCAAACGAAGAGGAAGCACAGCTACTGCGCGAGAACCCAAACACATGGGGCTGCTACTCGGTCCTCAATGTACTCTACTCTCTCATTCAGCGATCCCAGATCAATGAGCAGCTTGCAGCTATAAAACGAAATGAGGACCCCATGGCCGTTGCCGGAGAGTATGGATCTCGTCCTCTGTACCGGATGTTGGGATACTTCTCCATTATCGGTCTCCTACGAGTGCACTGTCTGCTCGGAGACTTCAGTCTTGCCCTTAAGACACTGGATGATATCGAAATGAACAAGAAAGCCATGTTTGCCCGTGTCATGGCCGCCCACTTCACCACATATTACTATGTCGGTTTCTCCTACATGATGATGCGCCGCTATGCCGACGCCATTCGAATGTTCAGCCATATCCTCGTCTACGTCTCGCGGACGAAGAACTTCCAGAAGGGTCGTGATGGCTATGATGCCATCGCCAAGAAGAACGACCAGATGTACGCTCTCATTGCCATCTGCGTTGCCTTCCACCCCACTCGTCTCGACGACACCATCCACTCCGCCATCCGCGAGAAGTACGGAGACCAATTCAACCGTCTCCAGCGCGGCCGTCCCGATGCTCTCCCCATTTTCGAGGAGTTGTTCCGCTCTGCCTGCCCCAAGTTCATCAGCCCTACCCCTCCAGACTTTGACAACCCATCCCTTAACGTTGACCCCGTCGATCACCAAACCGCCATTTTCATGGATGAAGTCAAGAACACCTTGTTCAACCCTACCGTCAAGTCTTACTTGAAACTCTACACGACCATGGACTTGAAGAAACTTGCTGGTTTCCTGGAAGTTGATGCTGAGCAACTTCGCGCCTGGCTATTAATTAACAAGCAGCGAAGCAGACAAATCCGATGGGTAGATGGTGGGTTGTTAGAAGGAGAAGCTGTCAATGCGGGAGATCTTGACTATGCCATTGAGGGAAACCTGATTCACATTAGCGAGGTTAAGGCCGGACGAAGACTTGTTGACTGGTATCTACGCAACCTCGCTAGAACCTACTAAGTCGAACATCTACCCATTACTTTTTTTTTTTACTTCTCACTTTGCGTTGCTGGGTAGAATGGGGAAAGAACACCAGACGAGAGCATTATATCTATGCATTTACGCTTTAACGCCTGCTTTTATGTGTTCCGTGCCTAGGGGGTTGGGCTGGCTTGGAACGGAATTAATGTCTAGCTTAGACCAACGTCCTGTTTAGGCTGTTTTTACGACGAGAAAAAGAGAAAGGTTTTGCTGTGCCCTGTTTACTATATCTTTCTATGCTTCCTTGGACACGCAATGGACTGGCCAGTCTTGTAGGCGTTTCTCTATTTCTTTTTGATTCTGGAATTTTACTATTTTACTGATATATTAATTGCTGGATTCAGTACGCATGGAATTAAAAAAGAAAAAAAAGAATATCATCTGCAACAAACTGTGTCCTGTTTCTAGCTGGTATCATACTTGAGAAGAGATCATAGTACGCCAATAGGTGCTAAATATGTACAATCCAGAAATTGTGCGTAGGTCATGATACGGCACCGTCAATCGATTATATTACATGGACAAAGGTAGTAGGCATCCGTGGCGTCGACTTTATATATTTATTCTTTGATATCAAAACTCGTTCCACACCCGCAATTACTCGAGGCACGCGGGTTATCCACAATCTTAAACTGGCTGCCGATAAGTTCAGTGGTGTAATCGACCGTACTGCCTGATAGTAGCTCGAGAGAGGCCGAGTCCATGACGACCTTTGCTTGGCCAGCTGCCGCACCCGGTACAGCGTCTGGGGTATCTTCTTCAACTTCAAAAACGGTGTCTTCCTCTTCGCTGATCTTTGAGCTAGGTTCTAGACTCATCAGGTATTGGAATCCATGGCATCCTCCGCTGGTCACGGTGATGCGTAGGTGGTGGTATGGGTTTTCCTTTTGTGTAGCGGACGGAGAAGCAGCAGGATTGGTTATTTCTCGTAGACGCTGTATATTTGTTAGCAATCAATCCAATCAATCTCTAATGAACTAGACTGTTAAAACAG